GGGCCCCTCGGGGGGCGGCCGTATCGGTGAGGCTGTGCAGAGAGTGGCAGGACAGGGGCCAAGTGCCTTCCTCCCCCTCTGCCCCAGGCGCCTCTCGGCTTCTTCGACTTATCCGTATAGCTTGCATACTCCTGAAACCGCCGTTACCGACCCTGCCCTCCTCTGCGGCTCGAGGATTATTTAAATGGCTCAGTCTGGGTCACGTCAGAGCTAGGAAACGTTTGATGGTCGTTGAAGGACATCGTAAATGGTGCCGTCTTTGTGGGTGTCTGCTCACAGAAATAGTTTCAAAGGGAGGACAGTTCTGCTGCTCGTTTGTTCAGGGTAGTTCCTCTTTTTTTTGCTTTTGTTAGAATCATACTTTCATTCAGTCATACAAACGAGGTATATTTGTCAGGGATGGGGCAGAGCATGCCAGTTTGCTCTTGAGTGCTTCTGTAAAGGGAGCCAGAAAAGTCCAGAAACAGGCTGGGTGGAGAGGCCTGATGCAGTTTAGGTTGTAAGGAATTCCTGCTCCATCTGGGTCTTAAGCCTCTGCAAACACACGTCTTGTTTTGGCATCAAACTCAGGTGGAGATTAAACCACAATGGCAGGAGAAAGGAGAAGTGGTGAAGGTCACTGTCAATGGTAATGTAGCATGTCCTGATGAGGAGCTTCTGTTTGTATTTATTTTTCAGTTTGCTTTCTGGGCAGTGATGTTTTGAGTTTTCTTGTTGGTCCATGTAACATGGTTTTTAACTTATATAACTTGTGTTTCTTTTCTGAAGTTGTAGTTCATGTGTTTCTAATGTCTAGATAATCTTAGACAAATACCTGAACAAAATCACTCCTAATATATGGTGTGTGGGAGGGAAGCGTGCACTGAATTTTAAACTTTATCGTCAGTCCTGATTTGGAAGGAAGACAGCTTCTGTTATCTGTAGGGCTACTTGGGCATTGCAGAAAAGTAGTCTTTAGTCACATAACTGAATTTGCTTGAAAAATTACGAGACTGGGAGTTATTTAGTAATGGTATGGGTCTTTGATTTTAGCAAGCTTGTGATTGGTTACGCTTTAGTGTGTAGGTATGGCTTATTTTTGTTTGTTTCAGGGAAGTCACGTTTTAGATGCTGTATAAAACTTTGATTTCTCAGAAAGTACTGAGTGCAGTTTTAGGGAATGGGACACCTGAAAACAGGTTTTCCTTTTTTTCCTATAAAATATTGGACAGATACTCTGCTTTTTAATACTTTAATAAGAGGTCTCCAATCTGACTTGCATTTCTAGGTACGTTTTAGTTATCAGCTAAGATGGATATCCGAGGTGCTGTAGATGCTGCTGTCCCAACAAACATCATTGCTGCTAAAGCTGCTGAAGTTCGGGCAAACAAAGTAAACTGGCAGTCGTATCTCCAGTAAGTAAAAACTTTCCACAATTTTTTTTTTTCCTCCCTTCTGAAGTGTTGGACTCGGTTACATTGGAACATGAGATTACAGTGAGGAACATTCTGTCTTGGTCCCATGAAAATAGTTGGAAAAAGTCTACATTAAATGGAAACGGTTGGGGAAAATTTGCTTATGACTTATTACCTTAGAAAGGGAACTCTACTTCTGTGAACTGATTGCGGTAATAACAAATAATGTAAGTTTGCACAAATGCGTGGTAAAACTGTCCATTTTTTTTCCTCCTTATTCAAACACCATTCTCAATTTTATCCTTATTGTGCGAGTATTGATGTAAGAAAAGTTTACAGTAAGAGCTCTCTTATATGTAGGTATGTTATCTCTATTGCTGAAGAGCCTTCTGTGTGAATACAAATTGTACGAGCAAAACTGGACTGGTAGTCCAGGAAAATAAGCTGTACCTCAACTAAAGGGAGAATAGTGCTGGAGAGCAATTGGAAAAAAGTAAATCGGGGAGTAGGCTGAAACAAATACTTCAATGTGTGGAGAGCTGTGCTGCCGTTTCAGATAAGCTCAGAGTTTACTTTGGAAGGTATATAGTGGCAGTGGGAGTAGCAAGAGAAGTATTGTCCAGAGAGCATATAAGGACAAGCTGAAGAAAATAGGTTTGTGCATGAGGTAGGGAACAGAGAGAAGAAACAAGACTTTTACTAGTCCTCTGTACTCTGAAGTGAAATGCAGGATTCTTGCATCCCTGCATTCCTCATGACAGGTACCTATGAAGAATATGGGCAAAGTGTAAATTAGTATTATCTCTTGAGGGTCCATGTATAATAGCAAATAACTTGAATGTTCGTTGCTTTGTAACTGAAGTAGCAGAAATCTTGATGATTCTAGAGGTACAAGCCATGCTGATGATGCTTTGTGATTATCAACGTTACACCGCTTTGCAAAAGATAGTTTTTTTTCAGATAGCTGTGATACATAAATATATGCTATATATTAAAATAAGGTTGCAAAACTGTACACATGCAAGCTGAGAAATGCTAACGTGGTAGAATCTCATTAATGACTACTTTGCCCTCTGCTATGTAGCTCAGTCTTGCCTATTCCATTCATTCAGTTGTGTTACTTTTTCTCTTTGTGATTGTGTATCTGCATGGTAAACTGGATTAAGGAACTGATCTGCTGAGGAAACTTCCTTTTTCTAGGCCTTTTTTTCAGATGTATCAGTTCCTTGTTCAGTTTACAGTGTGACATTACAGTGGCTTTGCAGGCGAAAGAACGATGTTGGTGTGGTAACTTGACAGTGGCAGCTACCAAGTATTTGTTAAACTATCTAAATGGCTTTTGCTTTATCTGATAGGAAGCATGTCCTGGGGAAGCCTGGGCAGCGGTTCCTGTGCTGTCCTAGTGGCAAGTGAACAGCTAGTTTGTAGTTATTCGGGATGAAAGTGGGAGTACAATTGTTCACTGTCAATCTAAGTGAATACAGGATAGTCTTTTTCACTGTGTCTCTAGTGGTTCAGACTATAAGGCTGGTGAGATTCATCTGTTGCTTTGTTAGTATAGGGGATGGTTCTGTTCGGCAAGGAGTTGTATTTTGAATACATATGTAGTATTAATTGCTTGACTGTGCTTTATGTGGTCTACCATTTATAATTTGCCTTCATTCTTGGGGTTCTCTGGTGCTGAATAAGGATAGGGGAGTTTTGTTTATTTATCTGTCAGCAAATTTCTGTGTAACTTCTTTTGACCAGGAGGCAGGGTTGATGGTTCTTTTTCAGATTCTAGATGTAGGATTTGACTTTGTTTTGTTCTGGAATCCATGAAAGAAGAATGTACTAGTTATTGCCTCTCTTCGATGGGTTAGCCAGGTTTTGGAGGCTACTGTAGTGCATCTGCCTAGTGTTTGTGATCCTGTTGTGAGACTGTTCAATGCCTGGTGCCCTCTGTCTGTCAATGACGGTGTGTCCTGTTTATTATTGCTCTGAAATAAACATAATCTTTGTGTCTTGTATTTACTGATAACAGCCTGGCTGTCTGGCTAAGGTAGCTTCAAGGATGAACTTAAGTGGTGACAGAGAAACTGTGGAGCATTGTGAAGATAACTGTAGTTCCATGGCTGAGGAGTTTGCTTGTCATTAGTTACTGGAAAATATCAGCAGAACTATTGGTGCTTCTAAAGAGGAAATAATGCTATATCTGTTTTTGGACATGTCCTTTTTACAATGGGCAGGTTTGGACGTGGTGGTGTCTTTGAGGATTTGTTGAAATCCTTTTGTTGTTAGTGCAGCTATATTGACTAATTTCTGGAATGAAGCACATTCTTAATGAGTGAAAACTGTTTGCTTCTGATGCATCTGTTAGAGGCGGGTCAGAGTGGTTTGTTCTGGTCTGTAGAGTAGAAGGAAGATGGGGTGCTGGTGATTTTGAAGGACATTTCTCTTGCTTTCTTTTGAGGTCCTGTTCTGGCAGTCTGTGCATTTAGTGTGGTAAGCTTGCATGTAAATATATGGAGGTGTACTTCAAGTCTTCAGATGTTTTCACATCAACTCAAGCATGACATAATAAATGTTCCTTAAACTATAGATACTATTTATATAGTTGGAGTCAAAGAACTTCACAAGAAATTCTGATGAAGGCGTTTTGTTTTGTGTGTTTTTTATTTTATTGTTTTTTTTTTAAATCTGGCTATGACAGTTGTATGTGTATAAAGATGCTTTAAAGATTGTGTCAGTTGCAACAGCATTGGAGTCTGGGTCACACACGAAGGCATTCTGAGGTTCTTTTCTGCTCTCTCTGTTCTTCAAGTGCAAAAGTAAAATGGCTTACTAATAATCGGTTAGACACTAGTAGCCTGACTTCTCTTGTAGAGTCACTCCAAGGTAAAGATTAACTGGCATATTGTTTATTCCATCTCTGAAGGTTATAACTGTAAACTAAATGTCAAACTATGCTAACACACAACTGCTGACTTTTGATGTTTTTTGTGTATATTGTTGGCACAAAAGTGAAATATTTAGGTATGACAACTGTACATATTACCAGTTTGCCACTGTGTTCACTGCTCACTTCAAAATTAGGCTGCGGAAAAAGGTTGGGTTTTTTTAATGCTAAAATTTATGCTTTCTTTGTGTTGAATTCCAGCTAGGGTCTGTGTCTGAGGGAGAAGACAGTAGCAAAACTTGGAACAGTGGAAGGTGATGTGTATGTCTACCTACCTTCTGGAAACGAAATGTGATTGAGGCCATTAGTTCTGTACAGACTTTCTTGCCTTTGGATCTTGAGACTTGTAGCAGTTTAAAAGTGTCAATGCGCTCTGCTAGTTGAAAATACAGATTTGCTGTTGTGTACTGTGTGGTTGCTTTCAGCATTTGCCTGAGGGCGTCAGCATGCCTTTGGAGGGTGCGTTAGCTTGCTTGAAGGAAGTTTGGTTTTGCTTTCTAAGGGTAGTAAATGAGTTCTGTGGGAAAGTGAACTCACTTCAGAGTTTAACTTGCATCTTACTGCACTCTGGGTTTTCTAGGTATACAGCATTTGACAATACTTCATATTTAATCAAGTGACGTACCTGACGGCTAATTTGTACTTGGCTTCCCATGTGTCTTCAAGTACTTATATGTTTGTGTGTTCTGATGTTAAAATATCTGTTTTAGTTTCCTGGGGGTGGGGGAACCTTCTAAAGTGGGTTAAATATCTTGGACTTTAAAGAAAATCTTATTTTAGAAGAAAGATAGAAATTTCCTAACTTATAGTGTGTGTGTTGGTTTTTTTTTTTTTTTTTTTAAGTTTGGTCCAGTCTTATAGAGTCCCTTCAGCCTGTTTTGCTCTTTTAATTTTGTAACGTCAAAACTGTTGAGCAGTTGCATCAAATGAATGTCCTTTATTTCCTAATTTTTATGTTTGTGTGTTGGTTTTTTTTTTTTTTTTTTTAAGTTTGGTCCAGTCTTATAGAGTACCTTCAGCCTGTTTTGCTCTTTTAATTTTGTAACGTCAAAACTGTTGAGCAGTTGCATCAAATGAATGTCCTTTAGGCACATGCAAAGTATTGTAGATAACTGGATAACAGAAATTATGCCTTAACATGATGGCTTCATATTTGCTGCAGATATAGTCAAAAGTTGTGGTTTGTTTTTGTTTGTTGTTTTTTTTTTAAAAACAACACAACAAAACCCACCAAGATTAAAAAAACAAACCAAAAAAACCCTAACCTACAGAAAGACTTTTGTTAAATCAAACAAAAAAAGGAACAAGAGCTGCTGGAGGAAATGCATAATAAAAAGAACAAATCACAAGTTTCTGAATCATCTTGAGAGACCAAGAGATTTTAAAAATGGTGGTCTTACAAATTCTTACTCTCTAAATCTTACACAGCTTCAGTTTACTCTCCTGTAGCTAGTGCTCTCAAAGGCAGCCTTAGAGTCTCCAGCACAGAGCTTTAAAACATGGTTACAGGACTCCTGGTCTAAACCTGATATACCCAGACAGCTGAAGATCAGTCAAAGTGACTTTTATTTGTTGACTAAAGACTGTGTAGACACATACTGGCAAATAAGAAATTAAGTGGCTGTTAGGAAGAGGGATGGAGGGAAGCTTTGGTTACTTGCATTGTTTGCTTAAAGGTGCTGGGAAATTCCTGTCTCTCTGAAGAGAGGATGAGAAAAATGGGGTAATAGCATCATGGTAGCTGGTACCAGCTGTCTGAGGCTGCTCTTCATTTTTCATGTGTTTGGTTTTTTTTTTTTTTCCCAGTGGTTGCTAAGGTTTACTATATAATCAGTTATTTCAATTTTAAAATTAGATGAATGGAAATGAATACATTTGAAATTACTGAAACTATTAATCAGATGTATGAGATCCCTGATAAAATATTAACAACTTGTTTACAAAGCTGTCAAATCCCTTGAACTGTTTTGTATGGGTTGGAAAGTGTCTTTTTGAATGGCACTTACAAAGCAATAAAGAGTAAACCCTAACTTCTTTTCCTCTCAAGGCAACATCGATCCCCATACCTTTTTTTTCTTTTTTTTTCTTTCTTTTTTTCCTGTGGTCTAATGTAGGATCAAAGCAAAAGCTTGAAAGCTTTTTTCCTTGACAGTTGGCAAACCACTTCTAATAGCCTGGCTATAAAGAAGCATCTCTCTTCCTGGGCTGGGGCTTTTTCAAGCATTAAAGCTAAAAACTAAGGGTTCGCCTTAAGTCATCTTTGAAGTCCTTCCTAAATGGCAATACTCTTATAAAGTAACCAGATGAGCTGCTTGTTTATATCAATATCATCCCGAGTCCCTGTCTTGGCCAGCATTGATTGAAACATGAGAGGCTTCTAGTTACGGCTCATTAAGTCCAGTATTTGTCGGAAATGAATTGTCCTTATCTTTCAACAACTGCTCAAATTCATCCTTAATAGGCAAGAAAGAACACAAGTTAATCTAAAAGGCATGTGGTAGCAGCATGGTCATCATTGGCTAATTACTTTTTCGTCTATAATTAGGTAAGTTTTAATAGAAACTAGTTGAAGACTACCACTGGCTTTATGAATCTTCCATCTAGTAAGTCTTAGTGCCTTTACTGAGTGCATGTGAGGGTATTTCTTGCAAAGCAGCTAGAATATAGGTATGGTGCATGTGGCACTGGACTACTTGTGTTCTTTGCTTGAAAAGTAAATAGGTAAAAGATGGCTCTGTGATGAGGCCATTCTCAAGACATAACCATTTAAGTAAGAGGGAAGACAAGAACACATTGTGGGTCTTATTTATGTTTCTGTGTTTCAAGAATCCAGGTGAGCCAATTAAAAAACAAAAAAAAGCAAACATTTCCTGTAAGTTTACAAGGATTTTAATGGAACCTCTAGTCATAGAACATCTGGAAACTGACCCGGGACGTGGAAAAGATGGATTAAAAGAATCTGTGCTACACAGCTTTGCAAAGTGGAAGAGGCATTTGACTCAGTGGAAATGTAAGAGGAGATGAGTCTTGGAAATAACTGAAACGGAGCAATGTCTAATGCTTTCATCCCCTGTGACTTTTACATTGATGACGATGTGCACAATTTTCTTCTTTCCTGAAGCACTCCTGGTGTTAACTAGTAACGGTAGTCACCTATTAAAGTCTTGGGTATTTTCAGGAGTACTTGATTTAAAATTAGTTTTCTTACCTGAGGAGTACCTATTTTGACAAGTTTGTTATTTGTGATGGTAAGTTTTGTATTGTAACAAAAACCCAACATTTTGCCAGCTCTTCAGCTGAGTCAACAGCTTTCTGAAATAGCACTGATGATGGCAGTAACCCCTTCAATATTAAGTTAAAGAGAAGATCAGGTAGAGATCTGGTAGCTTATAGGTGTCCGCAGCAGTTTACTATATCGAGCCCCATTGCTATGTGTTTGGATGAGCTTCCATGCATATCAGTTTTTAAACTACCAGGAAAAGCTGAAATAGTGTAATTGGTGAAAGCTAAAAATACATTAGGAACCAAGTTCTCTGTACTCCTTAAAATTCTCTTCAGTGCTTATGGCAAACTTAAATAACAATTCATTTTATTTTTCAGCACTTATTTCAGGTTGGATTATTCATGTTATGTATTATAATTTTGGCATAATGTGCTAGCTGTGTGTATTTCAGTTCTTACAACTATTTCCACTGACTGTTGTGTTCGGCCTCTGGAAGTTTAAGAATTATTTAGCGAATGCTGTTGAGCAGAAGCGATGCATAGGGAAGGCTTTGGAGAGATTATTTTGTCATTAGTTTCAAATTCTTTGTACATGAGACCTTTTTCAGAAAGGAACTCTTTACATTTTACTGTGGGATATAGGATTGGTAAAACGATACTGTTGAGATATCAAGTTGAAGAAAGTAAGGTTTGTTTAGTGGGTTGACCTTGGCTGGCTGCCAGTCGCCCCCCAGGCTGCTCTATTACTCCTCCTCCATCAAAAGGACAGGGAAAGAAATATGACAAGGAAATCACTCACCAATTACCATCGTGGGCAAAACAGACTCTACTTGGGGAAATTAAATTAATTTATTGCCAATTAAACAGAGTAAGATAATGATAAATAAGAACAAACCTAAAAACTACTTTCCCCCCACCCCTCCCTTCTTCCCAGGCTCAGCTTCACTCCTGACTTCTCTATATCCTCACCCTGAGCGGTGCAGGGGTTGTGGTCAGTTCATAACACTTTTTCTGCTACTCCTTCCTTCTCATGCTCTTTTCCTGCTCCAGCACGGGGTTCTGCCTACAGGTTACGGTGCTTCATGAACTGCACCAGCATGGGTCCTTTCCCATGGGATACAGTCCTTCAGGAATGGACTGCTGCAGTATAGGTCCCCCCATGAGGTCACAGGTTCTGCAAGAAAACCTGCTCCAGTTTGGGCTCCTCCCCACGGGGTCACAGCTCCTGCCAGGAGCCTGCAGGGCTTTCCATGGGCTGCAGCTTCCTTCAAGGCATGCCTACCTGCTCCGGCATGGGGTCCTCCATGGGCTGCAGGTGGATATCTGTTCCACTGGGGACCTCCATGTACTGCAGGGGGACAGCCTGCCTCACCATAGCCTTCACCGTGGGCTGCAGGGGAATCTCTGCTCCAGTGCCTGGAGCACCTCCTCCCCCTCCTTCTTCACTGACCTTGGGGTCTGCAGGGTTGTTTCTCTCACACATTCTCACTCCTCTCTCCTGGCTGCTGTTGCACAGCAGTTTTTACCCCTTCTTAAATATGTTATCACAGAGGTGTTACCACTGTCATTGAGTGGCTCAGCTTTGGCCAGTGGCAGGTCTGTCCTGGAGCTGTCTGGAACTGGTTCTGTCCAACATGGGGGCCGCTTCTGCTGTCTTCTCATAGAAGCTGCCCCTGCAGCCCACCTGCTACCCAAGTCTTGCCATGTAAACTGTTCGTGTTCCTTATGGTTTCATATCTTGCTTTTCAGAGGGCAGATGATTTCAGGTGAAGACTGTGAATTTATTCAAAGATTTGAACAGAAAAGAAATCCAGAAGAAAAACAGGAGTTGTTGCAAACAGAAGGCAATCAAGTAACTTTCCTTTCTTTTAATAATCTAACTTTTGGGGAGGAGAATGGAAGGAAATTTTCATACTAACTCTTATTTTATTGTTGGCTGTACACAGTTAAGATGTTATGGAAGAGATATAAAACTTGCTATTATGATTCTTTTTTTTTTCTAGGTATAGGTTGGACATCCTTTTAAAAACCTATTAAATAATTATTAAATGTCATCTGACTGACTCTGTTGTGGGACAAGCCAGCTCAAGTCTTTCCTCATCCCAGTTTACTTAATCATGCACACTTGTACTTGAGTCACTTTTTTTTGAGCTTTTTTCCTTGTAGTTTATTGATGAGAGCTACTGCCAGTGAGATTTCTGCTTAGCTAGCTGAACAATGATGATGTAGTTCCAGCAGTAGAGCCCACTGACTACTAAGGTGGTTTCCGTTGTTTAAACACAGGTGTCATTTTAGGCACTGTAAGATATGAGGTGTCTGCATTGGACAGAGCTGATATAAGACTGCTAGGTGACCCATGCTCTTTGGCTTGTGGAGTCTAGGCAAGATGCCCAAAGACACTTTAATGATGTTTCAAGCAGTAGAATCTCAGCCCTGAAGCCTGAGGTTCTACCAGACAATGTCGGACATCAAGCAGATTGGGTGAGGCAGGGCGAAGAGTAGGAGACGCACTCAAGGCACAAAACTTTCCAGCCTGTTTTTCTACTTTAATTTTAGGTTGTTCTGTTCCACCCCCCTCCCACTCCCCCAGTTGTATTGTGTGACTACTATGTAATAGACCATAATTTGCATAGCGACAAAAGCATATATGGTCCACATTATATGCCGCTATATAATAACAGTGTAGCAGTTCGGAGTTCCATTTTTCTTTCAGTTTTAGTTGAATGTGGTGAAGGGGAAGGAGGAAGTGTGAAAAGTAGTGTTGTGACTTTTCCAGCCTATTATATCTGTTCCTGAAACTGTAGAGTTGAGTTGTTCAGGAGGCAGAAAACAGCTCAAATATGAATAAAGATTTGTCTACAAGGTATAGGAGGTGAACAAGTAGGAATGACCTGTCTTCCCCCCTCCATTCAAGTTGCTGAAACTGTCTTATACTGCGTCTAAGTTTGTTGCCGTTTTGTCAGTTTACTTGATTCTTCTCCTCACTGCCATAAAAAAAGGCGCTGATGGAGATTTTTTCATCAGTCTTTCAACAAAGCAGCTTGCTGACTTTCACTAGTGAGTACTTGTTATTTCATTTGAAAGCCATAAAACAATTTGTAAAAGGTAACGATCAATGTGACAGAAAATTTTCTTTGTAATATAATGTCAAATGTATTAATCTCTTATTGCAATTGAATAAGATGTTGGGATGCTCAATGCTTATGTAAGACTTAACTGTGAATTAATAAGGTCCTGTTTTATATTATCAAAAGGAATGACGATAATTGCTAATATTAATTTTAATGTCTCTTATTTTTCTAGTGTGCTAAAACATTTATAAACTTGATGACTCATATCTCCAAGGAACAGACGGTTCAGTACATTCTGACTATGGTTGATGATATGCTGCAAGTAGGTCAATAACCTGTCTTATTTTTAAGTCTTTAAATGCATGCTTGAATGTTTTCTTTACCTAATTCAGGTCTCTTCAGGTCTTTGTCATACTGTATTAAAAATATTCTTTTAAATTATCAGACCTTGTCTTCAGAAGTTAAATGTTAGGACTAAAGTTATATGGGTAACTTAGTCTTGTATATAAATGTTCATATTCTGGAAATAACACATACCTGTATGCTTGTCTGTTGGCTCTCAACCATGTTTGATGGAAAACTTGGATGTTAAGGGATGATTTGTGACCTCAGCCCTTTCCTGTTGTGTAGATAGGATATGACTTCTAACTTGAAGTTGTTGAAGCTTTTCCTACGAAGGTGTTAATTTGGCCACCCTCTCTAAGAAGGTGTAGTTTCTGCAGCTTCAGGTTTCCAATATAAGTTAGACTGTTTAGGACAATATGTTCTGAAATTCTCCATGGTTTAATTATAAAACAGGAACTTCTGATTCAATGAAATATGTAGCTCCGTGTAGCTAAGGGATACAGTGACTTGTAAGAGTAGGCTATTAAATTTGGTGTCAGGACTGCTGTGCTGACCTGGGCAAATCAAGAGGAGACTTTATTCAATCAGATAATCCTGCTTTTGCATTTGTTTGCTCTCTGGTAGACTACGAGAAAGTGGTTGGAGTGATGATGTCACAAGATGGGTTGAGTTGTGCAAGGTTTTCTCCTGGTATTCACATAGAACATCTGGCTGTTTGACAGTTTCTCTTTTGCTGTTTTATGTTATATTTAATACAAGGTTACAGTGAAATGTGTCTAGGGGTAACTTAATGGTTTAGGGAATTGCCATAGGAGGTGAACCATGTGAGTTCTAATTCCAGCTCTGAATATTCAGTATTGTCAACAGGCAAGTTGAAAAGTGTGAACCTCTCCACAGTACATATAACATGGGGATTATTGTGTTCTTTCAGGTGCCTGTCTGCACATTAGAGCCCTGAGTGAGTGCCCTGACTGCTAGAATAATAGCTGGTGGTGGCAGTTTATTCATAGAATAATAGAATTCTTTAGGTTGGAAAAGATGTTTAAGGTTATCAAGCCCATTAACCTAGCACTGACAAGTCCACCACTAAACCATGTTCTCAAGCACCACATCTACCAGTCTTTTAAATACCTCCAGGGATGGAGACTCAACCACTTCCCTGGGCAGCCTGTTCCAGTGCCTGACTACCCTTTCAGGGAAGTAGTTTTTCCTAATATCTAACCTAAACCTCCCCTGGTGCAACTTGAGGCCATTTCCTCTCGTCCTGTCATTTGTTACTTGGGAGAAGAGACTGACCCCCACCTCGCTACAACCTCCTTTCAGGTAGTTGTAGAGAGCGGTAAGGTCTCCCCTGAGCCTCCTTTTCTCCAGACTAAACAATCCCAGCTCCCTCAGCTGCTCCTCATAAGACTTGTGCTCTAGACCCTAATCATGGCCATCTTCGTGCCCATCTGCAGATTTGTCACTCTGACAAATCTTTAGATTTACTTTTTCTCAAGTGTGACACAAACATCAAGAAGCAGAGAAGACAAAAGGGACCCTCAGTGTCATTTGTTGATTAGGACACTGAGTTAGGAGTACCTTGTTTTGGTTTATGCATTTGATGACAAACTTTATCTTAGTGTGCAAGAACTCTATTATGGCTACTTTCGTGAGGAATGGGTCTGGTTTTCTGTGTGAAACGTGTCAGTGGACACAGGAATAATCTTTTCATTTGCCCTTCTTTGGAACTTTTATGAGTGTTAGTAGGTCTTGTTTTGCTTACGTGCTTTGACATTAGCACATAGCCTATAGCTGCGATATGTGATAGCCGCTATCATCTCCTGTGCTGTGGAATTAATACCCCACAGGTAAAGGCTTTCACTGGCCCACTCTTGAACAATTGCATTAGTTCTAGGTGGTGACAGAAAGTAGTTTTGAGTAATCTCTTATTTGCCGTACTGGTTCTGTCATATGTGTCTAGATGAACATGTTTTCTTGACTTTATGGTCATGCACTGACATTTCTGTGTTCAAGGCCTTACCCTGCCACAGAAGTGACATATGTGGAATTATTAATGTTAAACATAATGACTTTTAAATTGTCCAGGCTTTATAGTGGTACAGGAGAATAGAGATGTTGGTGCACAGTATATATTTGCTTTTGTTTGACATTGGATGCCTTCTTCACTTTAGAAATTCTGCTCCAGTGTCTGAAAGGCTGCACTGGCTTTTGGAATGCTGTGTGTGACTTCATTATTCGGGGATGTCTTGCTGCTGACAAAGAGGGCTTGTGTACAGGCATCTGCACGGCATCATCCCAGGGCTTCCTAACCTTCCATGCCTCCACTAGGCAAGGCTGAAACAGGATTTCTATTTTCTTTTGGTCATGTTCAGATGGTAGAACATGCTGTCAGTGATGCCTTATGGCCTTACATAAGATTCTTGTCAGAAAGCAGCATATTGGCTGTGACTATGAGTTTAGTGCAGGGTCTCTGCAGACTGCATGGACAGAAGAATCCACAATAGTGGACATGAAGTCTCCTGTCTTTACCCAAGTAGTCTTAATTCAGTACATGCAAAGATCTTAAGCGAGAAATTGTTCAAGGACATGGCCTGTCACGGTGCTACTGACTCTTTCAGTAAAATTGTTTTGAGCAAGGATGTTCACTGCAGTTTCATGAGATAAACAAATAGTATTCGAAAGCTACCTTTGATAGCTGAAACTTCTAGAAACTATTGTAGGTAACAGTATCCAGCTTTTGTCTTTGTTGATAATGACTGTCTGTGGTTCTTCTATTATCTTTCTATGCTTTTCTTCTGAGGTTGTAAAAATGATGTGTGTTTTGAGCACAGCAGAAGCCTACCTGTGTGTCTAGGATTGTTCCAGCAGTTCTATGTGCGGGTTTGAACATTGTTCTAAGAAAGATTTCCTTTGGAGGCTGCCAGAAGCAAAATTAATGTGGTGATTGCCTTATAAGAATATCACCCTGCTGCTTATTTCTGGAGTGTTAGCATACTGGAATCTCTGAGGAAACATTTCTTATTCTATTCATACGATAAATATTTGGAACAATTTCTCCAGATTAGTGACCCCGTCACACTGCACAGGCTGCTACATGTGAAACCTTTAAGAACCTGCACTGTATTTGGTGCAGGTAGCAGTACCACCCAAGTGAGCTTCATTATGCTTCTTCAGAAATGACAGATGCTAAATTATTCAACTGTTGAGGTGAGAGCTTCAGGATTTCCATTTTATCAGTGTAGTCAGTAGCTGCCTAGGAAGGTGCAGCACTACATATTTCAGGGCCGTAGGCAGTTCTCCACTCCTTCATTCCTCTCTTTACCCTGCGCCTTAACAGCAAACCAGACTAGTTTTCTGACTGACAGCATGTTGAAGTTATTTCAGCTTTTCTGCTTCCAGACCTGTCTGTCTCCTCTTCAGTTATGTTGTAAACTGAACTCATTGATCTAGTTATTTTTGATCTTTTTAGCTAGACTCTGTGTAGCACAAGTGTAGATGCTAACAGTGATTTATTTGATTGAACTGCCATTTTTCATCAAGCTACCCCTCACAGAGTGGAGGCTCTCCACCAAGGCGCTGTGTTCCTGAGATCTTACTTGGTTTTTTAATTCATAGGTTGAACAACAAATTTTGAGATGATTTTTGAGTGCTTTTTGACACATGCCATATAGAACATTAATCACTGTAAGGGTTATGACTGTCAGGTAACTAGTGACACCTGACCTTCCCCAGTCAGTGACCAGGACAGCAATTTGCAGCCCATGTGGTACAGTAACTTTGATACTTTCAATGAAGGATTGGTTGCGACTCTGATGCTTAGTAAGATGCCAGTGTTTGGATCATGGATACATTCAGGTCATCTTGTGCTTAATGGATTGTATTCCAACGAGCAGGCTTGCCTAGCTGATTCTTGGTCCATAGAGTTAATAATAGGGTGCTGAATTGGTGGAGGAAAGGCCTTCAGCTAGGGGAGTTTGAAAATTAAATTCATTGGGTGATGGAGACTGAGACACTGTTCTCATGTGAGTTTCCCAATTACAGTGTTTCAAACAGTATTGCCTTCCTTGATAGGAGTTGTATACTTCCGTTGCAATAGCTTGACTTCAATGGGGAGACACTCTTTAGAGTGAAAGCTTAGTATCCACTAGGCTAGAAAGTATATGGAAATGCTGGGGAAAAGTAAGAATCCAGGTATTTGATTTTCTGGAAGACTGTCTATATTCTACGCTATTAGGAAATAGCAGAGCTCCTCTTTCTCCTTCAGGTTTGCATGACCTCTTCTCTGGTCTGCTTTAGGGAGAACCATAATAGCTGCTTTTCATGGTAGTTATTAGGTGAAATGCTTGAAGAAACTGTGCACGGTGCCCAGGTTCAGGTACTTGTGGTTTCTGGTGGTTCAGTCTAGAAGGACTGGAGAACAGAATTCTGGTGGCTGTGTCCTCTCCTAGGCATGCAGGTTGCCTGAGATAACAGCTGAACCAGTTGCAGCCTCATCTGGGAGAGAAGAGCTCGCTCCCCATTGAGAGGAACGGAGAGGCAGGACTAGCTTACGTCTCCGAAGTTTCACTTGTAGCACGTGCAGCCAAGCTGAACAACAGGCTTTTGTGTGGAAGTAGCAATACGTGGAAAACTTTGTATGGACCTTATTCAAGCATAATTGATTGGATGAAGAGTAGTGTTCCTCTGGAAAATGACAGTATTTAGCTAGTCTCTCACTTCTCTCATTCTGCTTGCTTGATCAAAAGGGTACATCCATTTTTACTCAAGCAGTGTTGGAGTACTGAGATATAACTAGGGTTTCAAAGTTTGTTTCTCCCTGCCCCAAATCTCTAACCTTAATATTGGAGTGCTGAAATGAACCGTATCCACAAGCAACTGCCAAACTGAAAAATTTCCATGGGCTGTTACAAGCCAGGATACACTGTGATAATGTATGCCAACGTAACAAGGATCAAACAACTGCCTTATGTTGAATGCTTTTACAAGTCTCTCATTTTTTCCCCTCTCCCAATTTTTACAGGAAAATCATCAGCGTGTTTGTATCTTCTTTGATTATGCAAAACGTGGTAAAAACACTGCATGGTCCTATTTTCTGCCGATGTTGAATCGACAAGATCTTTTCACTGTGCATATGGTAAGTTTTAAATGAACCTGTCTCTGAAGAGGGTAGAGAAAAATGCTGGTTTTATTTTTCTTTAGGAGATTCTGGAGTTTGAAGCTAAACTACTGCCTCGACTGGAAGATTTCCTCTTGCAGTCTAGATGAGTCATTCTTAATACAAGCTTCGCTTGACCACACTTTAGAAAGAAAAGTTACATTGTTTATTGACATTATTTTTTCTGGGAGGTTAGAGCAGGTTTTAAAAGCTCAGAAGAGCAAGGATTTTGGAATTAATTAAGCACAGTGAGACATAGCTAGAAAAATAACTTTTGTCACAACTGTCAGTCAATGCTCCTTGTGCTGTACAAATATTAGAATTTAAGTTCTCATCCTGTGAAATGGAAACACCTTTACCTTGATGTACCTTGTTCTCCCATATGCTCAAATTACTATAATGCCGCTTGAAATCTGCTTAAAATGGTTTGTAAGCATACTGGGGAAGAAATAATGTCTGCTGGTGTGGTGGGTTGACCCCGGCTGACAGGAAAGCTCCCACCCAGTTACTTGCACAGTCCCCCACAGTGCAACTGGGAAGAGAATCGGGAGGGCAGAAGCAAGAAAACTGTGGATCAAGATAAAGACAGTTTAATCAGTGAAGGGGAAAAAAGGTAGGGGAGGCGGAACCCAAAACAAATCCAACAAAAAGAAGTGATGCAAAAGCAATCACACAACACCAGCAGACTGAGGCCAGCCAGTATATTTCTTTGGTCAGCTGTCCTGGCTGTGTCCCCTCCCAGCCTACTCACTGGAAGTGTAGAGTAAGAAACAGAGAAGTCCGTGATGTGCAAGCAATGCTGAGCAACAACTAAAACATCGGTATGTTATCAACACTCTTTTGGTCACCAGTCTAAACCACAGCATCGTATGGGCTGCTATGAAGAAAACTAAGTCCATCCCAGCCAAGCCCAGTGCATCCACATGCATTGTATGGTATCTACTGTGCTTTGAGCCACTGGGTGCTGCTGGTATGTATGGAGTAACTTTTCTGTGATTCTTAATATTCTTCTGTCATCTGTGGTGAGAACTGGCCATTTCATCTCAGCAGTTTTTTTTTTTTCCTTGTGGGGGAAAAATATGGTTGTATTACTGTAAATTCCTAATGGAGACCATAGTTTCCACCAATAAAACTTTGTAATATGGCTTGAAGAGGGAGAAAACTGTATGGGTATGTGAATTGTTCTTCGCTGCATATGTTTATGCTGGCATGGTATGGTAGAATCAAGTCGGTGTCTCAAACTACAAAACCACATACCTGGCCTGCGTTATGCTGTGGTGGCAGTACTGGTGCAAGGAATTCCAGGCAGGTCATGCTGTTTGCCCTTAGGTGTGGCCAGTGCAACTGTGTTTGGGGCTGTGCGGTGACTTGAACAGTGAGCTGGCCTGTTTTCAAGAAAAATGTCAGGCATGATTTTTTTTTTTTTTAATCTGCCTGATTCACTGCATGGCTGTGGAATCAGGTTACTTGGTGCAGCTGAGGGAGGAAGCTGTTGGGATTTTTTGGTTGGTGGTGTTTTTTTGGTTTGGGGTTTTTGTATTGCTGCTGAAGACCCATCTTGCAAAACTGCAGTCCGAGCAAACTCGGACAATATTGACTTCTCAAGTGTGCAGGTAAAGTGTAATTTTTAGACCCTTGCAGTGCAAACTAATCAGTCTCCCTAGAATGGTGGCTTTCAAATGTATAATATAGAAATTCCTATGCTCAGTATTTCTCTGCTCACAGATGTGTTATTCAGATATTGTTTTCTTTAGGTACTGCAAAAATATACAAATAACTTTAGAAGTCACAGAGAACCTCATGTAATGTGAATCCACTTTAAAACACAAAGTTTGCTATCTTATTGTGCCTCTTTGCATATATTTTTTTAAACCACATGAATGTTTTCCAAACAAAGTTTTAAGTTTGTGTTGTTTTTGTTGTTCCCCCCCACCCCATGCACACTGGGAGACTTTTGCTGCCACATCATTGTATCTATGTAGACAGATGAAAATACTTGTTCTCTCTGTTCTCTGTTATATATATTCTTGTGCCATAGGCATAAGGAAAATTTGTAACCTGACTACATTTTTACTCCTTAACTTCATTCTTGAATTGTACCTTCCCTTTTGGTTTTCTACTCTTCTTTTTCTGGGCTTGAAACTTTGTCCTTCTTGAAGATGACTTGTGCCAGTTTAAGTACAGAAAACTTTAATACTTTGCAATCATTTGTTTTGGCATATGCTGTAGTTGCTTAAAGTAAGCCTGCTCATGTATGTGTTAGACCATTAAGTGTCTTACTGTTAGATTTCTGACTGTAATAGTGTCCTACAGCAGTAGCCCATTGATAGCTCACCCCCTTTATGAGTTCTTTGTTGGTGTCTTGTGAACTTCATCAGAGACAGGTGTCTGATAATACTGAAAATATACCAGTTACTAGGAAGTAGAAGCAGCAGAAAGCTGAGGAAACATAATTACTAGGCACAGAGTCCCCTACATGGAAAACAGGTAGATTTCTGTAAGGGGCCATCTCTTACCTAAACTTCGTTTCCAGAGCTTATATGACTTTCCAGTGAATCCTGAAATTGCTGCATTTGAAAAATCTGTTTATTGCTTTCTCTTTCAGGCAGCAAGAATTATTGCCAAACTGGCTGCATGGGGGAGGGAACTTATGGAAGGCAGTGACTTGAATTACTATTTCAACTGGATTAAAACTCAGCTCAGTTCACAGGTAAAAAGCTACTTCTGTTTAAACGTTACAGTGACTTTGGAAACTTTTTTTCAAGAACATGAATGGATAGATGTGCAAACAGGAGGTGGTTTTTTTTTTCTTTAAATAAAATTTTAGTTTTATTTTTAAAGCTAAATATCCTTTCTTGAAACACATACTTTTTAGTTTAATATTCTATATTTTCTACTCCAGTCCTTGAAATTTAAATTAAAAATAAAAAAATAAGGCTTTTTGCCTTTTCTGTTGGTAAATGTTTATTTTCTTCTGGACACTGAGAGAGCATATTATAAGGGGGTTTTGTCTCCATGTCTTGTTTGTTTCTCAGAGCTTTTTGCTAGGCAGAAAAATCACACGGCAGCAGGAGTGAATATCAAAACTTTCTTCCAGTTTACTGTAGTACAAAGCTTTTATTTTTAGTCCTGTCACTTGAAACTAAGTAAATCCTGACTTACTTGGACAGTATTTGTATGCCATTAGCTCAGTATGAACTGCTTACTGCTGGCTTCTCTTTCAAAGATTAATTGTTCTCCTTTGTGTTCATTTTTGGAGAATTTTCCCTTTAATCCTTATCAAAACCCAATGATTTGTCATTCTGTTGTAGCAGAAGTAGATTCTGGAGAGCAGAGAAACATTCAGTAGCTTTAATAAGGGTGTATTTTTTCATAGTTTTCCAGGCTGGGCTTATTAAAAATGAGTTTTATTTTTACTCTTGAATGAGAATCTTAAAGTTGGAATTTCTTTTAGAAGGATTCAAGAGAATGGTTTTCACATTCTAAGATAAAGATGGATGAAAGTCTTGAGTAAATCCACACTTAAATTAAAAAAAAAAAAAAAGAAAAGAAAAAAAATTAAATCTCCATACACCAGGATCAGCCCCAGGCATATTCTTCTAGATGTGATGGTTGTGTGGGGAAACAAATACAATATATTATCATAATATATTAAGCAGAAAAAGCATCTACTAGATTGTTCATCTTTTCTTTTTGTGACTAAAGTGATGGGAGAATTGAAAGAAACTTGGTAACAACTGTTCTGTAAGGGTGAAGGACAGCTCTGATTTTTAAACTTTTTTTTTTTTTGCTAGAAACTACGTGGTACAGGGGGTTCTGTGGAAACAGGAGCAGTCTCCACAAGTGATGTGAGTATATCTTTGAAATCTGTCAATTTGCAATTTTGGGCAGGTGATACCCATTCCTTAGATGAAGGTGCAGAGAGCTGTTCTGGTGTTAGTAACAGAAAGTATTTGGGATCAGAACTGTACAACAACAGAGTGCCAGGTGATGGCGCCAAGAAACAAAAGTATTTTTAAAACACAGAAAACGCTGGCAGTGGAAGTATGTATTTTACAAGTTGGTTTGGGTTGTTAAAAATGTAGATATATCTAGCATCCTCTTTGTTAAAACTTTAAAAAATGATATGCAATTAATATTTGAACAATACTTTCTGTTTAGCACTGAACTGTCTGACTTGTAGAAGTAACCTGAGCCTAATAAGCTTTTGGCTCTTGTAATGTGCAGAACTTAGAAAAGGCACATCAGATATTGAAGCTAACATTGTCCCTCAAACCTCTGTAGCATGAAATTACAAGAGTGCTTTCAAAGCTGTAAGCTTTTCATATGTGAATAGCCTGTATTCAGGGGAAAATGGATTGTCCTTTTCTCATCAGTATTTATACCGAATTTCATGTAGCTATAATGGCTGTTGAGCTTGAAGATGAACTGCAGCAGTATAGCAAACACAAGTGATCATCATAACTGGATTTTCTATTTTGTTGTGGCACAACAAGGCAGTTTATCATAGCTTTTGAATGTGGAGTAGGATTCGGTTTGCTCTTTTGTTCCTTTTGCAACCTGAAAGTGTTCACGGTTTTTCAGAAGATGTAAATATGAACCTGGAATTTGTTTCTCTTCTAAATGTACCATCGCTTTAAAGCATTAGCTTCCTGTAGATAAAAGCCTCTTAAATTACCACCTGACCAGGGTTTAAAATAAAAAAGATGAAAGACTGTTATGCATGACCATGGATAGGGGGTAAAATTAAGGCCTGAGCATAGAAGTTGAAGTATTTCAGTATGTCATGTGCAGTTCTGTGTGCCATACTGTTAGGTTTTGTTAGGTTGACAGCCCTCTGTCCTAGAGCCTTAAACGAGTAAATAGTTCTAGAGCACACAACACTGCTTGTTATGGAGCTGTGAGCTCTTCTAACTGGCTTAGAAACCTGTATTTATTGTAATGTGGCACTGCATGGATGTACCATACTACTGCAGGGTCTCAAAGCAGCAGAACTGATAGTGCAAATATGTTCTAGGTTAATTAAGTTGGGTAAGTATTGTCTTCACTTCATTAGTGTTTTGATTTCAGATCTAGCTTGTGCAGGATTTCCAAGTGGGTCCTGACTAATTTATTTCAGAGTAAATTGGAGATGCAGTTGTAACATTTTACACAGGAAATGAGGGCTGGTATCTATTACAACATTTCCATTATAATAGTGTTGGAAGAGAATGCTTTTATGACAGACTCTTTAAAAAAAAAAAGACTTCAAGTTCAGTAGTACACAGGTTGGTGATACAGTTAAATTAATCTGTTACTTTGGGGCGGGAGGGCTGTCTGTGTGTTTATAGCTGTTTTATTTGCATGGTGTGTGAGAGTGAATACTGACCCAGGGAAATGAATGTTCTGTATGATGATTTGAGCCTAGATGTTCAGATTCAGTTTTTTACATAAAGGTCTTAATCACTGGTGAGAGACCCAGAATGAATTCATCTTTATTTTAAATTCTGTTTATTGTCTCTTCTCTTTCCTCTTTGTATGGGATTGCCTAACTTCTTCACTCCATTAAATGTTTGAAAGGTTTGACTTTGTATTATGTATGTGATCTACCATAAAACTTTCAAGACACTTAGTGAAGAAAAAGGCTTATAGGAAAAAAAACCCCAACATTTTATTAGTAGCATATGTGAGTATTAGTGAAGATAATGCCAGAAGCTGAGCAAGAAGAGAGAAAAAAATGCCACTTCTGTTCTACCTTGGGATCTTTCTCTTGCTGTAGTGGGAGGGACAGTGGGTTGACCAAAACCCCATTTTTGAACTGTAGCCCATCTTATGTGTTACTGCATAGAAAATACAGGCTTTTAGAGGTGAAAAGCTGTTTAATGATTCTGGTTTTGACCATTCACATAGGAGTCTGAATGAAAATAGAATTCAGTGATGCATCTCTCAGCGTTTTCCTGATGGGAAAATTTTAGTCTTATTATTCTTTTCTTAGCACAGTATATTGTGTTAAGCTTTTAATGAAAAGAAGAAAAAATTAAAATGCAAAGCTAAACTTTGAGGATGATTTTGCATACTTGTTTTTCTAATGGTATTTTTTTGTATAAATATACATCTCATTATGATAAGCATGGTACTTCCTGTGTGGCACACGCGTAGGAAAATACACAGTTGTAATGACACCACTGCTGTTTTGAGGTGGAGAATGGGAGTGGGAAGAACTTGAGTTCAAGATTCCTTTTTCTACAATGACCTCTAGCAAACTTCAAGCTTGGTAACCAGTTTGCTGATTTATTTCCCAAAGTTTGCTCAATGCAATAACAGTTGATTCTGTGGATGAAAGGGCTCTGGCACTATAATCAAACAGAAGACAGCCTTCATTCTGATACTGAAAGAAGGCATGTTCAAATGGGATATAAAAATCTGTTATGGTAATGTAAAATGGTGTCACTTGCATAACACTTCTTTCCTATTCAAAACTCTTCTCCATTTATATTTTGCTTCCCACCTGTTCTTGTGAGTTGTTTTTTTTTTTTTTTAAATAGGGGGATGTAAAGCATTGTAAGAGTGAGCCTGTTTAATGTGGAATTGTCACTGAAGAAATGTGTGTTGAAGTATGCCAGTAAAGCCTAGTTTGGAAAACTGAACTTCAGCACTTACTACCTAACTCTTCTTACAAGAAGTGATGTGTTCTTCTTTTCACCAGAGTTCCCAGTATGTACAATGTGTGGCTGGATGTCTGCAGCTGATGCTTAGGGTCAATGAATATCGCTTTGCGTGGGTAGAAGCAGATGGAGTAAATTGGTAAGCATTTATTTCAATTTATATGCATATACTTGCACTAACAATAGCACGTTCCCCAGTGACCTCTTGGAGTAGAGCTCTCTTGCAAAAGACAGCTGCTCTGTTTGAAAACAAATAGGTTTTGTACTCAAACAATAGAGTCAAATAGACAAATGAAACTTGCAGATATAGGTACCAATGTTGAGCCGTTAATGCTACTTTACTCTTCATGAAAAACTGCTTAAATAAATCTGAAGGGGAATACAGCCATTTTTCTTCAGCTGAAGATGATTTTTTTTTTTAATTTAATAGAACAAGGACTAACAAAATGAGTTTCTGCTAATCTTCCTTGTCTTTCAGTTTGGAGTTGTTCAGTCTGAAAATATTAGTGAAAGGAGAAACACGCTCTAGAGCTAAGCTCAAATTTTTTTTTTCCACATATGGCTTCAAGTAGGTCATTCTTTTATCCAGATTCTCTTCATAAACAGCTCTGCATGAGGCTAGGATGTTGTCACTCATCTTATTTAAAAAATGCTTGTCTGTAAATAATTCTTCTGCCGTGCGTGCCTCTATTGGGGATTGTGGCTATACAATTTTCACTTTAAGAAAAAATACCCTTGTACTCTGAAATGGAGAAAAGTCAAAGTTGCCGGTGAAGTGAAAGTTCAAAAGATGTTTGCGTGTGTCAAGGTGACGCTATTGAAACAAACTTTTGCTCCAAGGAAGCTTTTTAATAAACTGTTAAAGCATTACAATAAGCCTGTGTTTCAACAAGTTTAAATTTGTCTTAATTTTGATAGCAATGATGTTGAAACTAGTTGGGGTTTTTTGGTTTTTTTTTGTTTGTTTGTTTTTAAATTAGGTTAGCTTTTTTGGAATGGACCTGTAAATTGCATATTAAATTTTCAAAACTTCAGCTGAACAAAGCTGCTGCATGATTTCTTCTTGGAGATCTTGTGATATTATTTCTTCTCTAGCAGTGCTTTGTATGTCTGTGGTGTGTTGTATCTATAAGCTGTTTTCTGAGAACTCACTTGTTAAATAATGACTACTTCAGCTAGTTTCAGACACTCCTGTGGAGAAATACAGTTAAGGAAACAAGTTCAATTTATGTAGATATTGTTCTGTCTGTTTACTCCTTCTCTTTCTTAACTCCAAAGAGTAGCTATGCATTTCTATAGAATGACAAATTATGCTCTAAACATGTCAGTAGAAAAAGAGTCTTGGTGAAACTGAAGATGGATACAGTACCACATCAGTTCGCATGGGAACAGGTGCTTAGTAAGGCTAAGGAGGAAATAACTATATCTTTAAAAGATGGCTTTCTGAACAAGCTGCTTGTACAATGATAAATACTGCTGCAGGACACTGTGAAGCGTGTGTTGTGTACTCATCCTAAGCAGCTCTTTCCAATAAGTTCTTGTTAACCATTTCTTTTAATGTTTCAGGGTGGAGCAATGCAATCTATGCAGTCATTATTTAAAAATTAAATGTGTACTATGTTAATTTTTCAGTATCATGGGGGTCTTGAGCAACAAATGTGGCTTCCAGCTCCAGTATCAGATGATTTTCTGTGTGTGGCTGCTGGCATTTAGCCCTCAAATGTGTGAATATCTCCGTCGGTATAATATTGTTCCAGTGCTGTCGGATATTCTGCAGGAATCTGTCAAAGAGAAAGTAACTAGAATCATCCTTGCAGCATTTCGGGTAAGTGTCTGTTGACTGCAATTGTGCTGCACTTCTCTCTCAAACGAGTAGGTCTCAGACGTTGCTGATGCACAACTGTTTCTGCTAGACCATATCAGTAAATTGGATTGAAAGCTTAATTCTTTTTTTTTTTTTTTGTGAGCTGAGTTTTGCTGCAGGTAATAGACATGCTATTACAAGTAGTAGATGTCTGCTCTTCAATGTCCTCTTAAAATAAGGTTGAGTAAAAAAACCCATGTTAACACAGGCACTAGTGATTACCCTTCTTTAGCTCAAGATTCTGTTTTCTACTGGCTTCAGTGTAAAACACTGTGGTTACTAATACCTGATAAATTTTGCCTTATGAAGCTTTACTTAAAAGAAGTATTATTTGAAACACACGTATGTTTGTCCAACTGACTGACTTAGAAATTATTTTTATATACTAGTCCAAAAGTCTTTCCTTGGTGGCTCTTTCAAGATGAATGAGGATATCCGTTTAAAAGTGATTAGTTGACTTATTGTGCCCACATTACCTGAAAAACACTGGTCCTATTTAAGATAATTTGGAATAACTGAGCACCGAGACTCGATATTTTTGTTGTGAGAATACCAGTTTGTGTTCATGGATGCTAACTGTGCATGTGCACATAGTTTTACGTGCATGCTTGTCAAGTGTCTTGTATGTAACAAAGGAATGCTATAACAACTTGTAATCCTGTTTTAAAACAGGACTTGTATCCTGAGTAGGAGATGTAGGTCTTAGAAACTATTTGTTTGCCTCGGTGTTGATTGTGGTCTAGTAGTAGGTTTTGCAAACAAATTAGGATAGGGAGAGAGGAATTGTTGCTTACTGACTTGCTGATCAGCAATAATGAGCTGTGTGAAGACGCTTACTCTGTGACTTAAATGGTCTCTCTAGCCAAAAGCATCTGCCACTTTGAAAAATTTCTGGATAAGGTAGATCATAAGAATATGCTATTTATCCTGTCAAAGGAGGTCAGTGGTGTGAGGTATTCAGTAGGGGCTATTCTTACTATATAGACCTCAATAGATGTTCTAGTGTTCTTTAGGATCTTAATATTAGGATTAAGCGGGGATTTTTAGCAAGACAGCTTGGGGGGAAAAAAAATGTTTAGGGGCTCAGCAGTCTATATTCAACTTCCTCCAATTCTGAGGTCATAAAAAGTAGGAGAAATAATTGCTAGTTCTTAGATTTAGTGTGTTTTGCAAGAGGAGACAAAAATGGAGGCAAGTTCTTTTAATAAACAAAGACTAAAAGAATAAGATGGTTCTGTTACAGGCTTTGGGGAAATTAATTTAGCTGTTTTTTTCCTCCAATATTAAAGACTAGTGTTGGCATGAAAATGAGATTAGAAACTGGCAGCCAGGAAATAATAGGTTAGAAATTAGACATCAGAGCTGTGAGTTCTGAAGCAAAATTAAAATAGGTAGCAGAGGCAAAATAGCCCTTTTCCTGTGTGAAAGGCCACAGTATCAGTTTATAGGTAAAAAAAAAAAAAAAAATAGGTGAATTGCATAAAGTACTAGGCTTGATGATTCCCCAAATCATCCATGCTGCCTGTGCATTACTGAAGGTATGCCATGAGTCTTGACAACTGGCATACATCTTCTCTACTGCTTGGTTTCTCCTAATTTGACCTCAGTCACCTCTTTGGCAAGTTAATTGCCTAAAGTATGTAATTGTAACGTAACTTTTTTATATAAAGCAACAGGTATTGGGTACTTCTGTCTACTTTGAATCAATGACTGACTTTCTTTACCTATTAAAATGGTTTTTTTTTCCCTTATTTTTCATACTTTTATGTCTGTTTCCTACCTGTAACTCATTTTGTACCTTAAGGGTTTTTTTTTTTAATCACGGAGTAGTTTACTGATCCATTCTATTTAGTAATTTGTTCCTGTTTGTACTTTCCTAACATATCCTTTCAATTCCACTATAAAAAGCTTGAATATCTCACTGTGGTATGAGACAGCTGCTAATATTTGGAGTAGCTTCCACATCTGCCTATAATTCTCTTAACTAGGAGTTCTTTGGAAACTTTATCTACCTGTTCCTTGAACTTGTTGAATTTTGTCTTTTAAGATTCATTATTTGTTCTCTTGCTGTCATTAGCACTTTTCACTCTTAAGTAATTTAGCATTACTTTCTGCAAATTACCCTTTACTTCTCAGTTCTCTTACTGAAATAGAAACAGGGTTTTTTTTGGACATTGAAGCTAATTGTATGTGGCCATTAAAGGCAGTAATATGACTTTATTTTCAGTATACAAGTTTTAACATTTATTTGCAGTGTTCGGCCTTACTAATTAATATGATGTCTGATATCTTAGAAACCTTAAGTGTAATGGTTCTGTGACATGAATGAGAGTGATGCAGTCAAATTCCTTCTGTATGGTTTCAGGGCTTATTTCTGGTAGATGTTAAGGCTTATTTATATGAACACATGTTCTGTTTGTTAAGGACTTTGTCTTTTATATGGAATTCATGTTTTCAGCTTTATCAAAAAGTGCAGGTGGCTAGCTCTGATTGAACAACATAATTTGAAGCTGATTAAATTGAGTAGAAATGTAATGAATAAATGACATTGGAACTTGGCTATTACATTCTGTGCTTGCAATTCCATTCTTGCCAACAAGCTTCTGTTTGAATAAAAATGTCTAGTTAGAATATTCCCAAATTCAAAAAAAGCTGATCTAATCCAGGTGGTAACTCTTGAGTTGGAAAGATGACTTCAGGTTGGTTCTTTTATTTTTTTAAAGCTGTCCTGCTTTATGCTATTGCTGCACAGAAAGCTAAAATGATAATCCCAGATAAAAATAGCTGTTTATGGCAGAGCCTCTGGGATTTGGGATATAAGCCTGTCCTTTTTCTTTGAATAGTCTTTGTAGTCAGCCTGATTTGATGTGGAAAGTGATCAAAGCATGTGAATTAATACTTTCTAGTATTGAAGGTAGCATACCACCTAGGAAGAAAAAGGTCTAAGTGACCTAAATTTGAATGCAGTGGTGGTGGTGCTTTTCAGCACATACGGTTGCATTACATCTACCTTGTAAGACAGAGCCTTCTTTTTTTTTTTTTTTAAGTTCCTCTTTGTCTGCTGTGGTGACAGATATGAATACTCTTCCTGTGTAGTAAGGTCAGTCCTAGGCAATTTATGCTACTAAATGTAGATGTAAAGCAGCCACTGTGTGGTAGACTCATACCGTACTTCTTTGGAGAAATTATTTCGGGAAGTGGTCGATTCTGTCACTTAATAAATTAAAAAGTGCCAATAAGAATTTCTTAAAAATACCACTTTGTTTCAAAGTAGTCTGTTCTTAAAACAAACAAAATAAATTTTTACCTCCCTAGAATTTGTTAGAGAAGTCTACTGAGAGAGAAACTCGCCAAGAATATGCTCTTGCCATGATTCAGTGTAAAGTTTTAAAGCAGCTAGAGAATTTGGATCAGCAGAAATATGATGATGAAGACATAAGTGAAGATATCAAATTTCTACTGGACAAGCTCGGTGAGAGCGTGCAGGACCTTAGGTATGTTTTGCAGTGTGAACTTTAAAAAAATGCAATTATGCAAACATTGGTAAAACTTTTTTTTCTTTTTAAGGATAAATAATATACAGAATTATAATACTTAAATACTAGTTGATAAAGTAGCGCGTAGAGAGATGCTGCTTGTATATAAAAGTTTCCTATTCTAAGTGAGTATTTATAGGCTGAGTAGAAAACTTCACTTTTGGATATGTGATCTTTGTTAAAGGACTTTAGAGGGATCTTACAGAAGTTCCAGTCTAAGCTGAAGACTACCTGATTTGAATACATTCTGCTGTCCAGATTAACTCAAGTTTTTGCTAGTGTTTACCTAGTTCTTACTCTTGTGCATAAATTGAACTGCATGTTGTAGTTCACATCAAAGGTTTAACCGGATGGAAGGCAAGGACTGGGATCCTTGGTTGGGGAAGTTAAAACCTAGAAAACAGGCAAAACAGCCAATTAAATTCCCAGATGCTGTGGTTGCGTGGCTTGGGTTTTTCCTCTTTTGTTTTGGGGTGGATGGAGGGATATGTTTGAAAACAAATTTTTCTCTTGCCTTTCATGCCTTTCCTTATTTTTAAAGTGTTGAACTCTGAGACGGGGAATAGTTCTCATTCTCTTCTGACTTCCAAATGTGTCATAGCAAGTTGTGCTCCAGCTTTGTCTTGCTAGGGACAGGTTTAGGCATGAGGTTCAAACTCTGTTCGTAGAAGCCTAGCCAATATTTCATTTAGGTCTTTTGTGTTGCAGCTCCTTCGATGAGTACAGTTCTGAGCTCAAGTCAGGAAGACTGGAGTGGAGTCCTGTACACAAGTCTGAGAAGTTTTGGCGGGAGAATGCTGTAAGACTAAATGAGAAGAATTATGAACTACTCAAGTAAGTTTTCAAGTCTTGAATCACATAATTCTTTAATATTTTCTGTGTTTAACTGAACCTGTATCTAATGCAGGTTTTACATTTCAACACAAAGTAATGTCTAGAATTAAAGCTCTCTTTAGAATTTATGGTCCTTACTCATGTTTTGTTCAAAAGCAGAATTGTTTATTTGCCTTTACTCGTCAAAATATATTGATGATGATGATGACAGAGGGAATATCTCTAGCTTAACTTGCATGCAAATTTGTGCTGTTGATTCTTTTCATGCTTTCACTTGAAAAAACAGCTGCACTAATTGATCTAATTAAAAATGTTTTTACCATACCTTGGTCTTTGTTTTGCGTTGTTGTTGATCTGAGTAATGAACTCCTGTCTTGAATACTTGGGGGTTGAAAGTTGTGCCATGGAAAATCTGACTTGCTGCATTATGTTGCAATCTGTCTGTTTTGTCTTGGGACTGTGTTTGGTGTACGTAGATGGTTAGATGAAGTGAAGCTGAAGCTCATTTTTCCTTTTGGAGTCAAGGACTTACTGGCTGGCTTCTGAAAGTATGTGCTTGGAAGATGTCTAGGCCTTAATGAACTTGTAGGAGCTCTTAGCTGTTTAACTGCATTGTCATTAACTGATAATACGTTGTGTTCTTTCTGTTCAGTATTTGCTAATAAGTGCCAGATCTAACAGAAATAAGGAGGCTGAGTGGAGCATGTGAGATATTAGAAGGCATGGCAAGAGCAAGCTGATCCTGAGCTTTACGTGCATTTTAGTCTGCCCTGAATCCTCTTCAGAACAAGTCTGATAAATTCCTCCCTGAGCGCGTATTGCTAAATATGTATAATTATAGACTTAAAAATTTTAAATGCTGCCAACTGCAACATGAAGCTGATGTTGAGGCTTAGTATTTGCTGTAGCAATTGCAATTTTTTGCTGTATTCATCTCTCCTGATTCTGGGACTACTAGATAAATTTATTGTGCTTGTGCTGACAGAGAGACAGTGATCTACAATAGTACCTTTAACCCACGCCCCCCAAAAAAACAAACCAAAGAACCCCACAAAAAACCAACACCCCACCCCCCAATGTGGTGGGGAGATTCTTGTACCTCAGAACTTCTTTTGTGTTGTAAGGCATTCGACAGACAATCCTTTCTTTGCTTCAAGCCACATCATTTTATTTTCCGTTATCTGCCAGTTTACTTGTTCTGTAACTCTAATATACTTAAGCTTACTGTTAAACTTACTTTTTTCTGCCTTCCACCATCATTGACTTCTTAAGCAAGTGATGCTGGACTTGTATTTTGTTCAACAATGTAGTATGGATCTTTAGTGTCT